ATCATTGGGTTTGAAGAGATGACACTTTTTCCCACCCAAGTGAGAACTGAGATACACAGAGAGAGAGAGAGAGAGAGAGACATACAGACAGACACACACACACACCCTTTATGGGGCCTCGAGGAAATTCATTCTGAGATGTAAAATATAGGAACTGGACACTAGAATGTAGGGGAAAATGACTGCCCCAAAGTTTTTCCTTGCAGAAAAGTATGGAGTGTGATTTTTTTAAAAAAGCCCACCCACGGAGGATCATGCTGGTGTCTGCACGGTCTCAGAATATTAATCAAATATTGCGGGTCAAAGAGCTGACAGAGCTGGAACTTGGAAAACACAACTGTACTGATGAAAGACTCCCCCTTGGCTCATCTCAAAAATCAATATATTTTTCAGTTTTGCTAGAGCACATCTTAAAGGATACCTGGATTTTACAAGACAGCAGAAAAGAGGGGAGTGGGAGGTGAATTCTGTAGCCATGAGCCTTTACCACCTTTCTTCCTGTCCACCCAAATCATGGGGCAAAGGAAGAAATTACATCATCCTCATCATCTTCTTAGAGCTGCAGAGCTGGAAAGGGACCCGATGATCATGGAGTCCGGCCCCTGCCATGGAGGCACCGTAGGGGACCCGAACTCCCAACCTCTGGCTCTGAGCTATGTGTCCTACGCTGCTGGTGTTCCTCGTGGCTTCTCCTTCGTGGCCACAGCATTCCTGTAATTATTCCAAGGAGTATCATTGCCTGCCAGGATACACAGCAGTTCATCTCAGGAAGCAGGGAAACCCTGGTGCTCGGAAAGGAACTTATATTAATATGAGATGCCAAAGCATGGTGGCCCAGCTCAGAAATCTAATGAAGATTTCAGATCTATATAAGTTTGCATCTGAATTCGCTAAATTCAGAAGGTATTTTGACACTTCTGGGACTCTGTCTAGCTGCGATGGTGGAAATTTGATCTGCAGGTGGCATCTAAAGAAGTAGTACCCATCCGTGGTCCTCCAGATGTTCTTGGACTTCAACTCCCAGAAATCCTAGCCAGTAGAGGGGTGGTGGTGGTGAAGGCTTCTGGGAGTTGTAGTCCAAGAAATCTGGAGGGCCAAGGTCGGGGACCACTGCGTCTAAAGCAATGGTTCATAACCTTGGTTCTCTCAATGTTCTTGGACTAAAACTCCCAGAAGCCTTCACCTTTGGCTTTGCTGGCCAGGATTTCTGGGAGTTGTAGTCCAAGACATCTGGGGACCCAAGGTTGGGAAGCACTGAGCCTGAGGGTGTGAGGGTTTTCTTTTTATAGTAAAATCATTTTTAAAAAATTATCATAGAATCAAAGAATTATGGAGTTGGAAGGGGCTTCTAAGGTCAACGGATCCAGCCCATTCTTCAAGGCAAGAATCCAAATCAAAGAGTTGTCCAATTTTCTCTTGCATGCCTCCATCAACGGGTCCAGTCCGTTCCTCAAGGCAAGAATCTAAATCAAAAGCAGATCCAACAGAGAGTTGTCCAATTTTCTCTTGAATGCCTCCAATGTTGGAGCGCTCATCACTTCCTGAGGTCATGGGTCCCATTGTCGTACTGCTCTAACAGTTAGGAAGTTTTTCCTGATATTCAGCTGAAATCTGTCTTCCTGTCGCTTGAGCCTATTGTTGCATGTCCTGAACTCTGGGATGATGGAGAACAGATCCTGCCCCTCCTCTGTAGGTCAGCCTTTTAAATATTTGAAAAGTGTTATCCTATCACCCCTCCGTCTTCTTTTCTCCAGGCTAAACCTGCCCAGTTCTTTCATAGGGCTTGGTTTCCAGTCCCCTGATCATCCTTTAAAATATTAAACACTTTCCGCTAGCTAAACCCCTTTGCAGTACATAATTGCTGCATTTTTCTTAAAAATGAAAAAGCATTAAAATTAAAAAGAAAAATTCAGTGCGCAGAGTAGATTCAACTGGGGATTCTAAGAATGCCCTTTGACCCTGCTGAGGTCACCCACTCCAGTAGATGGTAAACCTGTAGGTCAGGTGGTTGCCTGAATGGCCAAAGGCAAGGTCCTTGTGTATACAACCTGTTCAGAAAGAAATTTGAAGTTTTCCAGGTTCTGACTTCACCCTGAATGGTTTCCCAGCCACTGAATCTCAGCTCCTGGTTCTTACCTGGGGGTTGCTCAACCTTGGCAGAGATGAAGGCTTCAGAAATAATGGGAATAATAATGATGATGATGGCATTTCTGGGAAGAATGGAAAGTGCTGGATAGGGTTTAGGAAACCTTAGGAGACTGGAGTCCAACCTCCCGGAGGGACCCCATCTCCCTGTACGAGGCATTCTTAGCTTTTAAACACATGTAGGCATCTCAGGAACAGACTCAGCAGACCTTAATCATCTTTTGAATGAGAAGCACTGGAAGCCTGGTAGAAATCTGAATATCAGTCTGATCTGGCCGTTGTACCTCTAAATTTGCTGGTCCTCTTTTTAAGCAAGACCAGGTGGGTCCCCCTCCTCCTTCTCCGGCGATGTGTGTCTTCTCCGATGGTCTGCCAAGGGTCCCCCCACCTTGGCTCTTGGCTGCTTGTCTTGGAGGGCTCTGTCTAGACGCTGAGCTTTTCAGATAGGGCGCCATGGAGAAAACCCTCCTCTCCAGCATCTGTGCTTAACCAGGGCCAGAGGAACCCCCCCCCGGGGGTGGTGGTCCCTGGGACCTTTGAAGGGGGCCTCTCACACACACAAAGATGTGTGCTCTTTGTGTGTTCTCTCCTTGTCTGCCCACAGCCCAAAGCTTTGCATGTTCGACCGAGTGCCTTGGCAGCTGAGAAGACGTTCCCAAGAGGGCCCAGGGCCAGAAGCAGGTTGAGAACGGCTGCTCGACAAGATAGTTTTTGTTTTTAACCAGGTTGAGTTGCCTATTTTTTTAAAAAAGCCAGGATAAAAATTTAATAAATGAGAGATATTGCAGCAAATAAATAAATCATACGATGCCATGTCTGTCAGAGGCCAGTTCCGTTCAATGGGGGGGGGGATGCCAATACTTAATTGCAGCCTCCCTCATTAGTTTTATCCCATTTAAATGGGTTGTTTGTCTGTGTCTGTCTGTCTCCCTCTCTCTTTCTCTTTCTCTCCTTCTGTGTATACAAAACCTACAGTGGGCGACCCAGCTGCCGAAAGGCAATTTCTTTTTTTCTTCAAATAGCAAAAAAAGAGAGATGCCTTTAATAGGGTGCTGTTTCCTAATATAATCCGTCCCATTAGCAGAATAATAAGAATAATAAATGCATGCACCATTGAAATATAGGGAAAGAACGACTTATTTTTCCGAAGAACTTCAGTTCTTCTGTTCCAGGCACATTTAGATTTAATCAGCATTAATTGATTAACTGCTTATAATGCATGCAATGAATTAACAAAAATCTCTTTCATAGACCGTTAGAGCCACCCCCTGCCCACCCTTCCTGTATTGGAAGAAATCCTGTTAAAAGGATAGAACTCCAGTGGCTTGGTGATGCCGGCCGATGTGGTCCATCAGCATATTTGTCAGCATAGGAGGGAGCACCACTAAAGATGGGGTGCTTTCCCTTGTATAGCAGGCAGTCCTGGCTGGACATGGGCAGCAGTTTGTGCCATTTTGGGGGGGTCACCCGACCGGTGTTCTGTGGTTCTGAGCCCGGCCTCCTCCAGCGAGCCCCCACTCTCTTTTCCCTCCCCCTTCGTCTTTGCCTGGCCCTGGTGTCTCTTTTCTGTCTCCTGAGGAATTTTTACAATAGAGCCCTCAAACAACATAGCCATAAATGACTACGCATAAATGTTTAGCCTGAATATAGTATTATAATCATTCAACATTTCATTCTTTTTCCATATGTCTGATGAAGTGGACTTGTCCACGAAAGCTCCCATTAAAATACGATCGTGAGTCTTTAAGGTACCACATGGTTTTCTCTTGTCTCCTCTTGTTGTGTTTCTTCGGATTTTGCCTGGTATACCTCAGCTGTTTTAACTCAAGCACAGGGTTGTTTCGCAGGAAGGCTGGCCCTTAGGTTTCATTGATCTATTTTTCCATAGAACCAGGTATGCCATTGTGAAAGAATAGCAGACGAGCAGGAAAACCCTCCGGTGGTGAAAAGCAAATTTCCATGAAAGGCATCGTTGGTCTGGATAGCCTCTGGGTAGCTTTCAACATTTTGCGGATCCTCTCAGGCCTGTGTGCTTTCATCTCTCCAGTGGACACAACAGAAACCTATTTGAGCTCTTGAAAGCTGCAAT